CAGGGTGTCGCGCGGGGTGTCGTGGTGGTGTTGGTGGTGGTGGCGCTAGTTCGTGGAGCGGATTTGATAGGCTGGTTGAGAGTTTGTTTGGGAGTAGGATGAGGATCAGCTGAAGAAGAAGAAGAAGAAGAAGTAGAATCAGAAGTTTTGCCGCTACTCGGCTCAGGGTGTTGTTGCTGCTGTTCCTTCTTCTTTTTCGATATGTCCTCTTGACTTGCGCATTTGACTAATGAGGCGCCGTCTATGCCCCGTAACTTCCGCCTCTCTTGCTCATGTCGTTTACTGTTCACCGCCGTTTTTACCAGACCCGAGGGTGTCATCTTCGATGGCTTCTCACCCGTCAGCTCGAACAAACAATTGGCGCCTTCTTCAGAGGGTGTAAAGATTCCTGGCCTCGGAATTCTCGTTACTTTAGCCACTTCTTTTTTCCCTCTCGTCGGACCTTCGGTGGTCACTGCTGTCGTTGGCGCTACTGTTGTCCTTGTCGTCGTACTAGGCATCTTCGGTGCTGCGAGTTTCGGAGTTAGTGTCGCCGTAGGCGTTGTGATCCTTTTTGTTGAGGTATTTTCTTGTTGCTGAATCTGCAACTGTCTTTTTCTTCGGTCAGGTGCGTAATTTGGTGGTGGTGCGCCAGGTTTCGCCCTACTGGTACTCTTACCCGACGCCGCAAAGAAATGACTTAGTCCGTCGAAAAGGCCTCTCAATTGGCCACTACCAGGAGGTTTTGGCCTCGATTGAGGTTCTCTGTTAGTAGACTTTTTACTTTCTTGCATGTGTTTGTGATCATTTTTACTTTTGGGATCGAGACACAAGCCGAAGGTCGATTTTTCACCGATAGGCACATCGAGCTTCGGCAAAGTCGCCCCAAAGGTATTCGTGATGTTACTGAAGAAAGGACTGCTATCGACGCTCAGTTTGGCCGCCGCAGCAGCGAAACCCCAAGGTTTATCGTCCTTGGTGTCGCAGATAAAAGGTGCCTTCTTGCTCATCTTATCTGAGGAAGATTTATTTGCCGCCGGCGGCTGTTCCTCGCTCGAATAGTATTCCTCTTCGCTGTCGTCACTTGTCGTTTCTTCCTCTTCTTCTTCCTCTACCTCGTCCTCTTCCTTCTCCTCTTCGTCACTCGACTCTTCGGTAGGTAAAGGTGGCACCCGCGCTGGTGGAGCTTTGGCCTTTTGCTGCTGCTGCTGCTGCTGCTGAGCTTTGGCTCGTTTATTGAAGGCACTGAGCCTGAAGAATTTCTGCTTTTCTTTGGAGATTTCGATCGTTTTTCTCTTCGAGCGTCGAAGAAGAAACACCCTGACCGAGAGTCGACTGTTGCTGCTGCTGCTGCGGGGGGACTAAAGTGGGATTTGAGCTTCTTTGAGAAGAACAAGAAGAAGAAATAGAAGAAGTTAAGGATGAGGTTACGGCAGCTGCTGCCGACGGACAGGATGGGATTGGGAGATTGGATTGAGGGAATTGACGAGGGGAGACAACACCCGCATTACCGTCCGAGCTGCTACTGTCCGCTGCAACGCTCGCTGACAGTGACTTCTTCGTACTACTCGCTGGTGTACTACTATTCGACGTCGCCGTCGTTGTCGCCGCTGCAACTGCCGGCGTTGCTGATGACGTCGTTGGTGTCGAGGCTAGCGACGTACTCTTACGGGATAGGTTTGACCTGCGCAGAAACAAGGAGACCAAAAGGTTGTGAAGTGGGGTCGAGGGTTTCATGATTCTATTTCGTTGTTTCGGTGCTTTTTTCTATTTTTCTTTGTTTTTTTTCGTATGATGAAGTTTGTGATCGTTTCGTTTTTATGATGGAGTTTGAAGAACGTTGTAACGATTAGTATTGTTGAAGATTAGCTCACTGCGGCACTAAAGTGAAATTATCGTTAGAACGTCCAAATAGTAAACATTATCGAATGTGCACGTCCACTGATGAATGAAAACGAAGTGTTCGAGACGACAAATGTCAATCGCAATTGTACGCGACGAATGATAATGCTAAAATAACGACAGCACACGTCGGGCTAGTACGTGATTAGCAATCTATTACAAGTGTAAACGTCGTAATCGTGTCATCCTTCGTCAATCTTAAAGCGAATGCAAGTCAAGAACTTATGTGGCATAGATATTGCCACGGCTATCCGAATACACGATCGACTTACTTTTTGTTGTCGCGATTATTGCCCGGCCTCTTCCTCGGCGTGTCGGGACTGCAGGCAGCCGCGGAGTTCGTCGCCGTTGTCTCGTGCGTGCCTTGACAATGCCGACACCTCCAGGGTGCTTTACTCCTCTTGTCGAGAGCCGGATCTAGGCAGTCGGATGATAACAATTCGGACAGCCAGCGCACTTGACCAGGTAGCTCTGCGACTCTCTGTCCTGCTGACAGCCCGAACACGTGGGCGCGCAATCGTCGCACGACCAGCTCGCGCCGCGCTCCACCAGCACTGTCAGCTCAGCCGGTGCGCACGAGGTGTGCAGCGCCGCGCCGCACACGCTGCAGCGGCTCAGCTTCTCGCCACCACCTGCGGTCGCCACTGCCCCCGGTGTCGTCGCGATACCGCGCTGCTGCTTGTTGTTGTTGCTGCCCGCTGCCGTTGTGCCCAAGCATTCTTTGCAAATCGGCAGCGGCGCTGGTAGCTGCAAGAAAACCATTGCGTATGAGGCCGATGGCTCTGCGTTCGCGTGCACTCGTCGGCCACTCTTTTACTCGATCGCACCATGTGCAACGCGCGCGACGCGCCCGTGCGTGTGCACAACCAGTCGGCAGAGACCCTGACATAATCGAAACAAGGTTTTACGTAAGCTCATGTCTTGCCATTTCAATCGACTTTATATATATTCATTCGTTCAGTTTTCGCGATTGTTCCGCCATTTTTCTTCGTCGTCAATTTTACACACACACACACACACTCACATACAGAGCTTCTACAAAATATATGGAATGATAATTCAAGAAGAGTGTTCGAAGATAGATCACCATCAGTTGTGATCATTCCTTTTTTGCCAGTTCTGATTAGACATTTGCATACGCAGCAAATAACCGATCATTACGCTTGCGCACCTTTCCGTAAAATTATTGCCTTGATCGTATTATTACGACGACACCGCGTTAACCCAGTTGCATCGCGAATAAAGTAGCGGCCGACGATACGTAACTCGATGAAGAAAAAGAAGGGATATTCGCGGAAAAAAGGGCTTAACGGTTTCCTTTCGTATAGGGAACAGGTGCATTGTTAGACACTCGTGCGCATCAAAAAAGCGTCGACCCAATAATGCGATAAGACAAATAAATAGAAAAAAAAACGTCGTCGCGTCCGCCGAAAAGAAAAAGAAAGATAGCGTGTACGTTCTTCCTTTTTAATTAAGCGCGAAGGTTGTGTCCGCAGCCTTGACTGGTGCACAAAGAAGCGAAACGCGGAGCCTAATTATTCGGCGCGCGAGGGTGCATCTTATTAAACAAGACAAAAACGAAAGAAGGAAAGAAAAAGAAAAAGGAGTTTCACGCAAGGAGGAGAAAGGTATTACAATGCGATATTGAATTGTATGTGCGAGTGCCGTCAATTAATATTCCTATAAGGACGCTCGGTTTCTCCCCCCCCCCCCCCTCCCGCCCTTTTTTTGTTTGTTCGCGTTGTTGCGACGACTGGTTTATCGACCAAACCGTACGTTACTTTGGGTAAATATTGACACTGAAGAGCATACGCGTCTATCGGCAGGTGTTTGCTTGTTTCTTTCTTTTCGGTTCGGCTAATTATGCCAGCGCGAGAGCAGGCTGACGTCACTTCGCGAGACATATTATCGGCGAACGCGGTGATCGATTAGGCTTTCATTGTCGTCGGCTGACGCCGGTGCGTTCGTCGCGGCCCTTGCGTTCGCGCATCTCGGAAAATCGTGCGCCCGATCGGGATCGCACGGGCAACGACGGCTCATCGGCCGCTGAAATCCGATTGCACGCGAACCCGAGCCAACGTGAACAGATGCCAATGCGCGAACGCGTCGAACGAACAACGAAGACAAGCCGATATAACAGAATCGACAGCGCTCGCGCACCACCAAGTCGGATATCGCTCTCGCCGATGAAATCGCGAAGCTGCACGCGCGCGCGCACGCGCGCACACACGTCACACCTTTGTCCTCTTCTGAAAGCCAATTCGGCGCAGCCTCCGTCTCGATCTGAGTATCATCGCGCAGCGCGCGTTGCGCGGCGCGACTCGTTCGCAATTTCGCCTTTATCTCTGTGTGTGTGTGTGTGTGTGTGTGTGTGTGTGTGTGTGTGTGTGTGTGTGTGTGTGTGTGTGTGTGTGTGTGTGTGTGTGTATTCGCAACCGGCTTCAGCTTAGATCAGTTGGCGCGCGACAACTGGCGCGTTCGCCCGCATGGCGTTGTTGTACTTGCGCGTTGCGCGTTTCATCAATGAGAAGTCGGCCGGGCGCAGGCGCGGCCCATCAAGCTCGCACGCGCGGATGATGGACTAGGCCGCGCGGAGTCCGGCGGTTTCCTCTTCCGCCCGAAATTTTGCTCGACTTTGCTACGCTTCTCTCTCTCTCTCTCTCTCTCTCTCTCTCTCTCTCTCTCTCTCTCTCTCCTCTCTCTCTCTCTCTCTCTCTCTCACGCTTACGTAATCGCGCGGAAAGTAGTCAAGATTTCTAGGAATTGTACGAGGATCGCTCGCGACGAACCGTACCCTGACTCGAAGCTCCGGCTACAAAGCGCTCTACGCCGCTGCTGCTTCGAGAAGGTACACAGCGGCTGGCAGATAATCAAGAGAAAAGTGCAACTCGAAGACGGTTTACAAAGAGCAACAGGTCGTCAGCTTGTCACCGAGAGACTCTACTCTCTCTCTTTCTCTCTTTCTCCGCGCCTTTTCGTACGCGCGCGTGCTCCTCTGGCTGCGGCCAACGACGAGCGTCGAGCGACGAAAACGCTCCGAGATCTCGGTAAAAAGGCGTCGAATTGCCCCAGGGCGGTAAAGTTGGGGGTGGGGGGGAGAAATGAGTCATCGCGCAAAAAGCCTCCCCCTTGCGAGCACTTAGTCGCCGCGCAACAAAGTCGCATATGCGGCTTTCGCTGCGCTGCAGCCCTATTGATTTTTTTTCTTTTCCTTTTTTTTTTTATTATTATTTTTGGTGTGTAGCGAGGGGAGCAGGTTACACGCACACATGGCTTTTTCTTCCGAGCGCGTGCGTCATTCGGCGTCGTGCGTAGCGTAGACTGGCCAAGGCGGCGCGGAACAACGCCCGAGGGATATGCTCAGGCCAGGTTTCGGGATGTCGCGTGGCGGATGACTCGTTGCTTCGTGTTTTCGGTAGAGACGACGAATCGAATTGACCTACGTCGACGTGCACCGGACGTCCGCGAACGAAGACGCGGCGTCGTGCTCGGCTCTGCGGCGCAAAATCCGTGTTCAATGGCCGCGCAGGTCCAATATCCAGGCGATTCGTGCATGTATTTTGGAGGGGGCAGCGGAAGGTCGGCGCATGCACGCACTTGACGTAAATGCAGCGGCAATGACAGCAGCGACTCAGTTCTGTTACTAGCCAGCTTCTCCGTCGATGGTTAGCAGAAAGTGGGGATGAGGGGATCAATAGCGTAGGAAAACGCGGATTTAATCTCAACCACCGCCACCGACCCTCCTGCGAATTCCAGGGCTCACCGGTCACGGTAGCATTTTTCTTTCTCTGTTTCGCCGCTACTGTTATTCTATTGGACAAAGGACGTATTGTCGGATTCGTAGGGGGATGCTGGTTTCTCTTTCTTTTTTGGAGGGGGCAGCTTCGGGACAGTGACTGACGAGTATATCAAGCGAGATGGATCGTACAAGAATTGCGGTGGCAAATGTGATGGCGTTACGATTTTATTGCATTTCTTCTTTTTCTCTCTCTTTACTTTCTTTCAAACGCTAATGCAGAAGAATAATTTTTGGTCATTTACAAACCAACAAGATTAAAACGTTGTACTATCGACAATTATTTCTCTCGTATTTTACTTTCATGTTAATGGATGGGAATTACTGATCTTCTATGAAACCAGTTAATTATCGTGTAATTATAATTATTCGCTGATAATCCTAGTAAATGAAAAAAAACTCGTTCATCTCACACATAAATAACTCGACTAAATCTCCCGAAATAAATTGTAGCGATATCAATCATCGTGAAATCAAAATAACTTCGCACACTGTATAGGAAATAAGAGGGGGTGGGGATATGAGTTTACGCCCCGCGGCGGCGAAGAAGTTTCCAAGGACTACAGAAGCGCTCTCCCAGAACAAGCGAGAAAGGAAAAAATGCTTTTTATACACAGTTTGCCGGCGGGAGAGAATTCCGTATACGCATTCGGGATGTTGCAGAAGGGCTTTATCGGCTCGGCGAAATCAGCGAGATTTCATCGCTCTCTCGCTCCGCGCCGTGCCGCGAGAATTCTCAACGACAAGCGAGACATTAGTCGCAGATCAGCGGCATCGCCGAGCTAAATCGGGAGTTTTTACGCGCCGATTGTGCCCGTACACAACGATCTTGTCACGGAGCTATGCGGCGAAGAATCTCAGCGAGCCCGACGTTTCTCTGCGTTTCGGCTGCACTTCTAAATTTAAACGACCGAGCTGTTGGGCAAATAGCTGTCGCGCGCATTGTTGAAAATCACAAATGCTGCCCCGTTTTCGCAACTCAAAAGGAGCGAAAAAAAAAATGAAACTTTGAGATTTCGGGCGAGAAAAAAAGAACCGGAAAACACGAGTCTTTAAGGAGAATTAGCGGCGACAAGAGGCCCAATAAGCGAACGATTACGTTACAAAGTTAAACAACGAGGAAAACGATAAATCTCTAAAAAGACCCGTGGCCCAATCAATCACTCGGCTTGTTGTGCGTGCGTATGTGTGAGCGCACGAGAGAAGCCGCAGAAAGAGAGGGAGAGAGCGAAAAAAGGGGTTAAGGCCGTGCGCTCATTATGCGAGGACGAGAAAAAAAATGAAACGAGCGATCCCCGATCGCTGGCTGAAATTAATGGACCAAAGCGCGCAGGAGAAAGAGAACAAGAGAGAGAGAGAGAGCAGCAGTTTAGCTGTGCTTGTTGCTGCTGCAGCAGCAGCAGCAGCAGCAGCAGCAGCAGCAGCAGCAGCCGCAGCAGCAGCTCGAACCCGAGTGAACCCCAAACACGTGGGCGTGTACGTCGCTGCTGCAGATTTACGGGATGAATGGAGGTCAAGGTCAATAATAGGCTAACAGGATAACACTGGCAGCCGGCGCGGGGATTGGTGGTTTTTGTACGATCGACTGCTAAGCCGATTTTCGACTGATCAGGGCTGTCGCCCGAGGCCGTCGGCTGCCGCCTCGCGCTTACTAACTGATCGACGCAACGAACCTTGGGCACGTTGCTGTCGTTGTGCGGCTCGTGATTGTTGAGCAGCTTCTTGGGCAGATGACTGTGATGCAGCTTGTCCGCTTGCCTGAACAGCCGTCCGTCTTGGACGACGAGACCGCGATCTACGGCTCTCTTGGCCGACAACTTGAGGGCGATTCTGAGGTCGCCCTCCTGCTCCTCCTCGACGGTGTGGCTCTGCCTCACGTACTTCTCGATGCTCTTGAGATTGGAGCCGTCGCGCTCGCCCAGCTCTCGTACCGCCTTAATTATCACCTTGACAAGGTCCACCGTGCGGTTCACTTTGAGCGGCTTCGACTGCAGTCCGCCGGGATCCTGCGCGCGGATAAATAAACATTGTTTAGTTGGTTGCGCAAAGCCGACCGACCACCACTTTCTCTTGCGCCAATAACGACTGTGCTTTCCTTTTACTTGTCGCCGCAGTGAAATATCGATACGAGAAGACATTCTGATGGTGCGCTTCGCGAGTGCGATCGCGCTGGCAAAGGGGGACACGGGTACGCGTCCGCGCGATCTGGCGAGGGAAAAGGAAAGTGGACGAGTCAGCGCGCGCGCGCGAAAGGTCGAGTCACGATGACGCTGGAATACCTTGTAGGACGACTGTCCCTTGTTAAAGAGCTTGAGGATGTCGCCCCGTTTGACGGCCAGCTGCAGGTTCTCGGCGATGACCTCCTCGTGGAAGTCATGCTGCAAGCGTATCGCGTGGGCGATGCGCTCAACGCTCGGCCGCTGCTTTTGGCTGCGTATCTTGCGTATCGCGTCGAGGAACCACGCGGTCCACGTGTCCGCGTCCGGCTCCTCCATGCTGCCTCGTTTTCCTCTGGCCTACCCTCTTCTGGGATCTGTGCAATCGGCTCGGGAGGATCCCGCGATCGTCCCGCTTCTCTTCGCCGTTCGTTCTCTCCCTTGGCTGTCTCCTCACATCGCAACCATGACACCGGCGCTGGCTCCTCGCCTCCCTCGACTTTCGCGGGGAGACAATGGCGCCTCGTATTTACATACGACTCTTCTACCTGTAATCGGACAATGCAACGGATCATTACTTAAGGTGGCTTCATCAGCACGGACTCTCTCCTATCGCATCGGCCTACGGTTAGGGCTTTCGTTTGAAGTTCACACCTTCCTTACGGACATATTTATTTAGCATTTCAGAAACTTTCTTTTTTATTCAATTGTTCTTTCAGAAATCAACTAATTCACGCTTAATAGTGGAAAAATGGCGAAATACCTTTTTTCGCTTCATTATTTTTGCAATTTTGTTTGTGACATACGACAATTTCTCATGTTTTTCTTCAATGTCATTTTTAATGTTGGTTCGATGATCGGTTCTCTCTTTTCTTATCGGATATCTATTTATTAGTTGTATTGTATGACTTTATGGTTTTTCAAGAGAAATTGTCATTTGTTATTAAAATTATGAGGGGAAACGCGAGTACAACCTCCTATGCCATCAACGCACAGCGACTCAATTTATTTCTCGTCATTTAGGTCGGTAACCACCATTCGCTTTTACGCAACCCGAAAGTTCGCGCGTAAAATTTTTAGTTGAGCTCTGTCGCAAGGCAAAGTTTGATGGAGGCGTCTCAATTGTCGTCGAAGCGAGCGAGAATCGACATTGAGCCGCGAGAAAGAGATTGTCGACCCTTTCGAGCGCGCAAAGGTCAAGCGACGACCGATCGGAGCTTGGCTTTACGCTTTTGTCCGCGAACGCGTCGCCCAATTGGACGCGTGTTCCGCGTGGAAATGACGTAACGACAATGATTACTCAATCGTCGACGCGTCAAGAGAACAAAAAAAAACATTTCTCTCTCTCTCTCTCTCTCTCTCTCTCTCTCTCTCTCTCTCACTCTCTCTCTCTCTCTCTCTCTCTCTCTCTCCGGCGGAATTCATACGGCGAGGCTGACTCACGATCCCGAAGATTCCCATACTCGTTACGTCAAAGTGTTACGGCGAACGAACGGTTCCGATGGACACATCGGTTCAGCGTTGACGTGTGTTAACGACCGGCGCGGAGTGAATTGCGTGCGAAAAAAAGGCCGATTAGCCACCACCAGTTCCTTCGTTCGCGCAATTTCGTTTGGAGTTCCCCTTAGCACTGCGCGCACGGCGTACTCGGGAGAGAGCTCGGAGGTGTCGAGAGGCGAACGACGCAAGCCGCGACGCACCTATCGTCATTTCGCGCGACGAGCGGCAGATCGTCCTGTCGCGCGTGCGCCCGAGCGAAACGAGGGTCCGCCGTTGCCGAACGACTCGCGACGATAAAGCGCGCCATCCGTGATGCAAATGCTATACGCAGCAGACGGCTAATTCGCGATAATTGAGAGAAGCTCAGCCCCCACCCCCCCTCTCCCGCGCCGCCGACAACTGGTTAATAATCATGCGACAGCTGACGCGAGAGATTAAGTGCGCTTTCCTCCTTCTCCTCCCTTTCCTCGTCTGCTCTTGCATCTTTTTCTTCGCGGACTTTATCGCTCGCGGCGCCCTCGCCGTCGACGATGCGCTTCTGGCTTTTGCGCAATTAATTATAACGCTCGCCGCCGACGATTTTATTTATACAGAGAGCGCGCGCCTCCTCGCCACTCTTCAGCCCAGCACTCGTATCGATCTCTCCGAGCTTGTAACATTACTGTTTCAGTTGGATAACTTCCACGATGCAGTTCGCTTACCGCCTGTTTTTGCAAACGTAATTTATGACATGCAAATCGTCCGCAAAACCATTAAACGTTCGACGGTCAATTTGCATTCGCCAAACCAAAACAAATACGCGCAAGCCGTACCGCAAAACGCAATTCGCGTCGCAGCCTCCGCCCCCCGAAAATCGAAAATGACCACCAGGCGATTCCATTTCCCCTGACAAAGCGAAAAAAAAAAAAAAAATATATATAGTTCGGCCCAGGTAGCGGAATCGATATTGCAAGAGCGCAGGCTTTAAAAAAAGGAGGGGCCGGAGGGGGAGGGCGTTAGAAAAACCCGGACAAAAATCGCGTAGGTACATGCAGTCTCGCTCGGTCGGGCTGGCAAATCATCGGTGAAAGCAGCAAAGCAGCTACGACGACCAGTCATCGACCTTTAAAACTTGTAAAATCAGTTTCTGGTCGCCGCCGCCGCGTGAGAGGCTCCAATTAGCGCTCGCGATTTCCGTGGCGATCGATTAGAGAGAAGCGAAACTCGTTCTTATTTATTTCTCCCTCTCGCGCATACCTTCTTTTTGAGAAACTGGTTTTCCTCGCGTTGCCCCCCCCCCCCCCCCGGTCCCGCAAAACGCGAGAAAAATGGGCGCTCGCGCGCGGGTGCAGGTCGAAAAATCGAGAATTTCCGCTAGAATTGACGTTCACGAGTGCTGATTTGCGGTCGGCTGCTATCGAGAGATTAATTCACTCGAACGCTAATGTGGCTTCTCTTACCCCCGATTCCTATCTAAAGTGACGAATAAGGCTGTGCGACGATTCGATTGATCGATAAAGATCACCTTTACATTCATGCCGAATGCTTAATTGATACGTCTATATATATATATATATATATATATATATATATATATATATACACCCTCCGAGGAATTTCCGTTTACAAACGACGTTCTCGTTGACATTATTCACTCGAAAATTGCATTCCACGAAATCGTCGCCGCGTAATCCCATCCGATAAATTTACCGCGCGCCATGGTCATCAGACTCGTCCAAGCAATATTTCCAATTATCAAAAAAAGCGTATCCATTCTCCCCCCCCCCCCCCCCCATGCAAGCCGAAAAAAGGCACGAACGGTATGGGGAAAACACATCAACCGCCTGACTGGTTAAGAACATGACGCATAAAAAAGCGGAATATATCTCATGCGCATTTAAAGCCAGCCGAAAAAAAGCAAATAAAGAGAAAAAAAAAATGAAAAAAAAAGAAAGCAGCCGTCGATGCCGCTTGTAACCCTTGGAAAGCTGGCGCAACGCGGGGCGACAAGAGAGGCGAGCGGCAAAGAGCGTTGTGACGCAAGGTCGCCTGCGCGCCGAGCAAGGATCTGTTTCTCGCGTGCGTGTATTGCTTTCGAAGCGGGTGTGTGCGTACGCTTAACCCTCCTCGCTTCCTCGACAGAAGGTGCGTTCGTTTCGGCGTCACTTCACCTCGGATTTTTCCAACGCGACTGCGTCGCTTTCTTCTCTCTTTGTCGCGCGCGCGCGCGCGCGAGCGCTCGACTGTATCACCTGCGGGTACACGAGAACGAGTCTCTCTCTCTTTCTCTCTCTCTCGTTATCTACGCCTACGAAAACGGCACGTTAGATAACGTCTCGTCGAAAAGCAAACGGAATTGTGTCTCGTATGCGCGCAAATCATCCATTGAATGACTATTCGTGCTTCGTTTTCTCGACCTGCAACTCGAAAATCAGCCTCTCCCGCTACACCGACAGCCAAAAACAAACAAAAAAGAAGCAAAAGGAGCAAGCGAGCGCGCTGCCTGATCGGCGAGTGCGCAAAAATCCTTCGGTGGACGCGCGCGTTCGGCCTTCGTTGTCGTCGTCGTCGTCGTTCGCTTTCACGCGTGCGGCGCGGAGAGGAGTCGAGAGCGCGTCAAGACACGCGCAAGCCAAAGGAAGGAAGCAGAGCCCACGAGCGAGCGCCTCGGTTATTTGTCTGTTGGGCGTCCGGCGGCGGGCTAGCGCGCCGAGAAAAACGAACGAACCGGCTGTCGCCGCTGCCGAGAGAAGGAGAGCAGCTGCTACGTGCAGTTGTGCGAGCGAGAGAGAGAGAGAGAGAGAGAGAGAGAGAGAGAGAGAGAGAGACGGACAGAGAAAGAGTGAGAGAGAGAGAGAGAGAGAGAGAGAGAGAGAGAGAGAGAGAGAGAGAGAGAGAGAGAGAGAGAGAGAGAGAGAGACTTGTAACCGACCGGCCCGACTGCGCAAGCATGCATGAGAAAACGAGAGGCTTGTGTGATACGTAGACCCACTGTGCATGTGTAGCTTTCGACTTTTTCGCTTTTCGGTAGACGCGCCGCTCCGTGCACATAATCCCGCTGGACGAGTTGATTTCGATAACTTTCCTTCCTTTTTTTTCTTCTCGCGTCGGGATACAGCGCGCCTGTTTGAGAGCCAAATGACGTGGTTCTATCGAGCTGTCAAGTCAAGTTCGCGCTCGAATCGAGGCTTTTTTCCTCTGCCGAAAGAAGAGGGGAAAAAAGACATCCACATCGACATTTGTACGCGGATTAACGGTCTACGTAACGACGTGACGACGATGAATTATAAATTTAAATATGCATATCGTCCGATAAATAGACTAGCATGCACGCTCGCGAGAGCAAGTAACCGCGCGAAACTAATGAAGCTATGTGTGTGACCTAGTTCTTGTGCGCCAAGAAAACGAACGTTCGACAAATGTGAACCAGATTAAACAAATGATAATCTTTCCCTCACTGGACTCCTTTTGTACGGCATTTTACGATGCAGTTCGGAAATGCAACGCGTGAAAGGGGGGAAATATACACACACATTGCTCGGAGCGATTCCAATCTTTTCAACTCTCTCGAAGCAGCTGCCGGCGCGAGCACGCGTTAATACACCACACCACATCACACAACGACGATGACGATGATGACGATGATGACGATGATGAGGACAATGAGGACAATGAGGACAACGACGACAACGACGACAACGACAACGACAACGACAACGACAACGACGACAACGACGACAACGACGACAACGACGACAACGACGACAACGACGACAACGACGACAACGACGACAACGACGACAACGACGACAACGACGACAACGACGACAACGACGACAACGACGACAACGACGACAACGACGACAACGACGACAACGACGACAACGACGACAACGACGACAACGACGACAACGACGACAACGACGACAACGACGACAACGACGACAACGACGACGACGACAACGACAACAACGACAACAATGACAACATCTACGACGACGACGACGACGACGACAACGTCGACGACAACGACGACGACAACATCGACGACGACGACAACGTCGACGACAACATCGACAACATCGACAACATCGACAACATCGACAACATCGACAACATCGACAACATCGACAACATCGACAACATCGACAACATCGACAACATCGACAACGACGACAACGACAACCACCACCACAACAACAAAAACAACATTAAAAACAAAAACAAAAACAACAATAACAATAACGACGACGACGACGACGACGACGACGACGACGACGACGACGACGACGACGACGATAACGACCACGATCCGTCGGGCTCCGTATGCATGCGTGTGACTCACGTTATATCTGTCGCGGAAAATTTTCGCGCAAAATTTTTTACCCTCCCTCCCGCTCCGCTTTATATTTAGTATATGTGCGAGAGACAGAGACGAAAGAGAGCTCGTCGAAAATCGATAGCGCGTCTCTTAACCTCAACTATGCTCATAATGCTCTCCTTCCTGGGCTCGCTCGCTCTCTCTCTCTCTCTCTCGCTCTCTCTCTCTCTCTCTCTCTCTTACTCATTCTATCCGACGCGTCCTCAAACAGCATGCGAGCGAGGGAGAGAGAAAGAGATTGAGCAGCGAGGTATAGCCACTTTCGTGTACGAACAAGAAAGGCGCGGCGTCGGTTAACGGTGCAATTACACGAGCGATGTAACCGAGAAAGAGACAGAGAGAAAGATTCATCAAGCAAAAGAGGTTTGGCCGCAGCCATTTTGCAGAGCGAGGAAAGAGAGAGAGAGAGAGAGACAGAGCGAGTAGGAGTATGTGTCCGACGGCCGTCGGACGACGGCTGAGAGAGCAGCTCTCTTGTACTCACCTTTTTCCGCCTTCAGTTTGGCAAAATCCAGCAATCCCAAGCTATTTATCACTCGCGATTCACTTCTAATGGCACTAAATTAACACTGCTTGCCGTTAATTATTGTAAAACGGCATTTTCTAGCGCGACACTACACACCACAAGGCGTCACATTTCAGCGCTCTGAGGCAAGCGCGAATCAACAAAGGTTACCCACTTGATAAAGATGGCCGTCGCTCAACTCTATACGCGCTCGCTCTCTCGCTTCGCGACACCACCACTGTCTGCCTGTTCTATGTGTGTATGAGTCTGTCGAGCAGTTCGCTACTCCAGTGAGAGAGAGAGAGCGCCGCTACTGCGCAACCGCTGGGGAGCGCCACTGTGCGTACACCAAACGAGCGTATGTACGTCTGTGTTTTTTTACAGGAGAAAGAGAGAGAGGGAGAGAGAGAGAGAGTGCGCGCGCGCGCGCGCGATGTTGTGCACGCTCTCCAATTGATTTGCTTTCCGGGAATTCAGAAACTATATATTGGTTGTTTTTTGAAAGAGCGATGCTATTAGTTTTTTGGTCCCACGGTCACTTCGTCATAACGTTTCCAACACTCGCCTCGGCTATTTGCAACGTACGATTTTATCTCTTGTACAAATTAGTTGGCTAAATGATACTTTGTAATACGTTTCAGTATGAATCATACACTTTTTTATTCTTAGTCACATGATACTATCGAAACACAAGGCTCGCCGGCGATCGCAAACTGTAAAACACTGTTGTTCGTAAATCTTCGCGTGTCACCGTTAACGAAAGCAATCAAATTCATTAGGACAATCACACACGTGTAAACGGAGTGTCGATCGCACCGACGGTGGGCGCGGAGCCTTAAAGCCGCGCTCTCCGGGAATTTTCTCGCTTGCGACTGTGTAGTTCTTTCTCGCATGTATATAGCTATCTTTCTCTTTCTCTCTCCCTTGTTTCGCAGCGCGGACTGATGGGCTGCTCCGTGATATGGCGCGTGCATGTATGTGTGTATATATGTGTGTATATATAGTTACGAGCTCTTATAAACACATGCGCGCACACACCGGTAAGTATATCGGCGGCTGCGCTGCTTGTTGTATGTTGTATAAGTATGCGTTTAGAGCGCGACGATCGCCGCTGCACACACTAGAAACGAGCGAGAAGCAACGATGATTGGGCAAAAGAGGAGGTAAATGCCAGCAGGTAAAAGAGAAAAAAAACGATACTTATATATATACCTACACGGGTGCTACACTCGTTTCTGGGCGGTATATTATATACTTCTTACCCTATATGTCTACAACTATACAATGCATAGGAAGATGCTGATGAGCGATTGATTTTTATTGGGTATATACGTACAGGCACTTTGTAATTATGGTTGTGCAATTGAAATATTTATGCATTATTATGGGTGATCGTAATTCATCTTAATTCATCAAATAGTGATCGATTTTCCATGTTTCACTGAGAAGATAACTGCTATCACATTGATCAGAAATATATGATATTCTAACTGTCATTCAAAAAAGTAACTAATTATTTATAGAAGTAAAATACCACGATTACGAAAATTAATGCTAAGAATAAGTTGGTTAAATTAGGAATGTTACAATGGTTTTTCCAATCATTTATTGTTAATATATCAGTGCATGACATAATAAAATCAATTATATTTTTTCTAAAAGTATCAGTCTCAATAGAGACTTTAACAAAAGTTCAACCCACAATTTCCTTATCTTCCATATGTTATACTCAATATAACTGCTATTTACATTAGTAATTTGATAAATTAGGGTTTATACATTTCCAATCTATGTACTATTTATTAAAAACCACTTTATAGTCTATTGTGCATGTTTTAATTACATAAAATTTTTATTCTTTAATTATTCAAGTAAGATCCAAACTACATATTAAGATCTACTTCTTTTCTATAAAGTTGAATGCTATAAAGGCAAATAGTAGTTCACAATCAAAATAGCACACTAGAATGTAAAAAATATTTTATCATGTGATCCATTTTGTAAGAATGTTCCTTTGGTTGCAATCCTATATTTACAGAAATATCATGCAAAATTATATTTCATCATAATTTGTAAATATTAATGCATTAATATGGATTAAAGATATTTTCATAAAAAAATATAAAAATTCTGTATGAAAGCTCATATGAAGATCTTTTAAATTTAATTGAATTCACTTATTCAAGAATAGAAAATATTATTTTTTATCAATATTTCTCATCAAACTAAATAGAATGTGAGCTTTTGTGCAATTGTATATGGAACATTTAGTAACATTCATCTCCAATATCTCAATAATAGGAGTACTTCAACGTTATTGGTATTGTAAGGGAATACATTATTGCTATCAAAAGTTGCTTTTCATGAAATAATTGCAACCCAAAAATTTCATCATTACATTAAGTACAATAAAGAAGACGGATTTCAGAAAAGAAAGGCCTCGTCATGGTGCAAAGTCTGGCTTTCCCTCGTAAGTACAACCAGATCGTTGAATAATCTCCGTAGCAGCCCAGATGCCACATTTAATACAGACCTCTAAGCTTTGATTCTGTATATATTGAGCCAGAAATCCTGCAATAATTTATTAGTTTCATATAATCATTCTTTTATTTGATACGAAAGGTAAATTTAAATACAACAGGTTAAACCTTACCCCCTACAAATGCATCTCCAGCTCCATTCGTGTCAACAACCTTTTCTTCTGGTAACTTTACTACAGGATATTCAGTAATTACGTTATCTTTAACTAATAAAACAGGATTTGCACTCTGAGTTATAATAACAATTCTTTTCCTCTTAGTGTTTATCTTCTCCATATTTGACATTTTTAAAGCTATTTCTTTTAAATCTGTTGTATCAAAGTCATTGATTTTAGCAAAAGTTTCTGCTTCAGATTCATTGCCAAATAATATATCTACATAAGGAAAAGCTGCCCTCATTGGTTTCTTGAAGAATTCACACAAAAATGGAGCACTCAGGTTCATTGTGAATATTTTATTTGTTTCATATGCATGTTGAGCCACAGATTGTATTGTTTCTGGACTCACTGTTAAGAAGAAGCCCTGAAATCGAAAGAAGATAAACAATCATAAATTCAAATTTGCAAATATTTCAAGAATATATTATAAACAATATTCTACTCACTGAGACATAAAAGAGTTTTGCATCTTGTATCAATTTCTTGTTACCTTCTTCTTCTATATGCGATGGTAAAAAGCAATTGGCTGCAGCTAAATTGGCACAGAGAGATCTACATCGTCCATTATTCGTAATTAAAACTGCACAGGTTCCTGTTGGTTCTTTATCTGTATACTGATATCTAACATTCAAGCCATTTTCTTTGGCTTTTTCCTCTAAGATTTTAGAGTACTTGTCTTTTCCAACACAGCCCATATAAATTGATACTCTTGGTTTTTCAAGGAACCACTGCATATAAAATATATTGATCACAAATGTTGATATATTTTTAAATTTGATATCAAATCAATAAAAACAACCTTACTACAATAATATATTCAAATACTTTTATGCTAACATAACTCAAAAGTTCTTATCTAACCTACTAAAAGTGGCAAATAAATCAATCATAATTACTTGTTTACTTTACAGTCTTACAAAAGACTCTCAGATAATAAAGTTATAAGGCCATGCAAAGAATTTATAACATAGAATATAACCAGAAAATAAATGAGAAAATTGAAATTTACTTGTGCCACTCGCATTGTATTTTGAACAGCTCCTCCAGCAATGAAATCTGCATTGTACTGTTCAATAAGTTCATCGTATAATGGTTTGTGCTTTTCACTGGCAAGAATGGCATCATTGGGTTTTAGATCATACTTTTTCAAAAAGTCTTCATCTACTGATGCAGAAATGTCAAGAAGAGGATTTCCAATCCCCAACAAAGTTCCTTCTCTAAAAAAAACACGTCGATAAAATATTTCCAATATTTACTAAAAATTTGAAATCTTCACTAAAAATTAAATTTATATGTTGACTTGAGATAAAAAAATTAATAAATTATTCAAAAACAATATTTTTATATTTTTGAAACAGTTACGTACTAATTAATGAATAGAGTAAAGTCGCATAATTTAAGCTCGAGATATTTGAGAACGCAACATGACGCAGATTGCATAACGGATTCTATTTATCTGTCGTCCGCAATTCATATTGCGTACATAGCAACGCGTGGAAGTTAAAACAACTTTGTAATCTCTAGGCCACAACATCAAACTAAAGATCTATAAACTGCATATCAGAGCAGCTAGAAGTTATAAAATTATTTGTATCGTCTATACAATTCACAAAAGAAAATATGCAGTCAAATACATAATTCTAACCTTAAAACTCATGCTCCAATTATAAAAAACACGTGCTTTTCACGAATTGACAGTTTGAAACAATCATACAAATGGAATCTTACCTCAGTTCCTTCGTCATTTTTCACAAACAATCAGACCCGAAGAGCTTTCGTTTAAGGCACCAAGCGACAAATGCAGCACGTAAAAACTATCACAACGCGGATTACGTCCACGCGCCAACTCTAAAGAAATTTTACCCGCAGAGCGATTTTCTTGCGCGCGCGTACATTGAGCCAATGGAGTCACATTACACTGTGCAATAAAATGGCAGATCACTTATTGTTGATATGAAAATCACGTGGTTTGACCTGATCTTTTTTTAGATCGCGCTTATCAACGGATATTTCAGCAAATATGGAAGTTTTTAGGAATGGAATATCGTAAATAACGTCGATATTTTTTCAGATGTGACGAAACTTCTTCAGACTCGCGTGCTAGCGAATTTCAATTTCATAAGATGCTAATGTGAATCTTGGCACAATCTCGTTATTGAAATGTATTTCCAATAGTTTATATATAGAACGGTTCAAAACTATTCACGTGCAATAATACTTTATCTGAGCAGTGCACGTATTTCTTCGTATATGCTGTCCTATTACAATAGCTATAGATGCGTCTTTCATGGTTGAAAAGAATAGCGAAAATAAATTTCTTCTTTAAGGATTTTAGTCTAATTTTTGAAAAATTGTATAAGACGTGACATTAACAATGAAAGAAAATTACATAACAAAAACATTCCTAAAATGTCAATAAAGCTTAGGATTGGAATATTGATTTAGGTAATAACAATAGACCATCATGTAAGTATGCAAATATCATAGTTTATTCAGTCTTTCATAAGATGCCATTCGTAGTCTGTTTATTTATTTTTTTGATAGTGCGGCACACATGTGCACTTGCATTGATCTCATCATCGTCGATCAGATGTCACATCAACCCCTGTGAGTAACGATTAATAATTTTGAATTTCAAAAGAAAATAAATTTTCACGCGTCGATTATTCACGTCTTCAAACTCAAAGACCAAAAGAAAAAAGCCAATCGGAAGAAAAATTACGATTACGATTTTAAATTCAGGAAATGCGTCTAGACTGACTATTAACAAATGTTTTTTGCAACAATTAAAATTCTCTCCGTTATATTCGGGACTTGCCTTTCCAACAAAAAATCTCGCAGTCCACATTGAAAATCAAGTTTTCAGCCCTCAAGACAGAGCAGTCAGATCGCCAGATCTCGAAGTCATAGTAGTGTCGGCTCGTTGTTGTGATGCTACTCAGCCGTTTGACCAGTAGCCCATACTGCTCCTATACAATTACAGAGCACACATACACATTTTAAAGTAATTTTCTCATTCATTGTGCTATGAAATTTTTTTTATTTGATTGATTGATTGGTGGCTCGGAGAGTTTCTAAATAATTTCCTTTTTTTTTTCTATTGTCATGAGCACGTTCTCCGAGATAAAAGTATCGTATTGTGCAATGTGTGATGATATTTTTTAGTGTATACTCGTGAATAAATTGCATGTTAATTTGTACATTCAAGTGTTTTTTGTTGAATAGTGTACAAAAATATGCAATATTGATCGAAAAACAAGGTGTGAATAAAAAAACAGGTGTTAACGTAACATAAAAAAACACAACTAAGTTTCACTGCATAAATTAATAATTCGACTGACAATGAGATGAGACTGTATGATGATCATGTATTATAAAGCATTTTTTTATTTTAATAATTATATGCAAAATATAGATTTATAAACATTATTTTGAATCAAACGATCAATATCTTCCAGATAAAAAAAATAATGGAAAACTTAGGTAACTGTCAAGTCTAAATTTGGAAAAAAAAAAGAAAGACATACAATACTTTTACCCCGGCATGCGTGAATAAATGATACACCTGACAACTGTCCTTTCGCGACATCATCAGATATCATTATATATACAATAGGTATGTCTTGCAGGGTTTTGTCTCCGTGGTTAATCTCTCAATGCCAGGCAGCAACATGTATACATAGCAAGAGAATCAAAGAAGATATTGGTGCGACGTATATGTCCATTGTTTTACCCATTTGATTATTGTAACAACAATGACAGAGATTATCACGGCGACGAGGCGGCGGCGGACGATTGTTCTTGACGCTCGGTGGTAGAGGTGTGCGAGAAGGACGACGACGAACGTGCATAAAATTTATGCGGTACCACGTTTTTTTCGTCGGGCGACGGCGACGGCGGCGGCGGCGGCGTGCATGTACGCGCGGCCCCTGATCACAGTGTCGTTCGACGGCGCGGCATCCATTTTAGCTACTTTCAGAAGGTTGGCTACAGATTGAGAGGAATATAATCATCAATTGCGCTAAATAAAATGATGGATTCGTTGCTTTTTCTTTCTTTTTTGGTCTCGTTTTGTCAAATGGAAAACAACCTTTATGTACAATCAGAGACTCATGTCAATGTTTACACAATCATCAAAGACAGCTGAAACGATTACAAAAAGTATGCAAAGTGCGCTTACGGGAAAATAATCGACAAACAAGCATGCGAACGCTTGACGGATACATCTGTGGCGTTCTGGGAAAAAAAAATAAATCTCAATTTTAAAAAGTATAGGACGTTTACTTTGGCATTTTTTTAAACACCTTTACATGTTTTATGCTAAAGTTTATCTTTTTAATAAAATACTCATTGTCTAAGAAACTTAGTTTAATGAAAAACATAAGATTTAATCATTTCTACATAGCTTTACACTCGGTATGTCTTCCACTTGAGGGATAAGATAATATTGATAAAAATAAAGACGTTGCAGATTGAAATGGCAAGATTTCAAGATATTTTCAAATTATGTCATTTCTCGAAAACACCACAGATATATAGTTGCTCGAATACTAAGGTTAATGTTGTAATCGTTTTCACTGAAAAAATATTCAGCAAGCAGAAAAAAATCGACTTATAGAGATATAAAAAAACAAAGGAGTAATAAAAAAAGTAACCCTTAATAACCTATGTAAGATACAGATTTGATATAAAATGTAAAGCTTAAGGAATTACCTGTTGAATGATCCGACGTAACATTTCCGAAAACCTGCTACAAGAATGTAACTACCTCGTGAGATCAGTCGCAAAATCGTTAATTCGATAAAACGTCTAATACACTTTCGTTTTGAACTGTTATACATAATGCAAAGTGCACTCGAATTTTTTTCTATAATTTTTTGTATATTGATGAAAAAGAAGCCAAGGATGAATTACAAAAACACGCATTTTGAACTTTAATCTTTATTTGGAAATTAAGTGTAAAATTGTTGATCATATATTTATGATAATACGTAAGTACTAAAAAATACAAATTGACAGAAAAAAAAGAGAACAAGGAAATGCGAAGCAGATAAATGGAATCATTTATTTTTCGTTCTGATCATACCTGCCTTCTGTCTCTTTCTCATCATTATCTCGCCCTTAATTCTTTAATAATATAATCTCGCACTTCTCACGTCAGTGTTCGTCATAATTTGTTTGATTTTTGTTTTAATCCGAGGTAGCGTTAATATTACAAAATTGTGTAACATCTCGTGTCAATTTCTCGGTTAGCGCATCTCTCAATAAGTTTTATTGTAATCCACACCAGGATAAGAGACAAGTGATTTATTCGCGCCGAAACCCTGCGAAACCATGTTGTCCGCAGTACCCATCGTTCTGAAAACATCAGTCATACAAAAACGAGCGGTTTTAACATTAAAGAAATCACCAAACTGACCAATAACAAAAAAAATAATAATAGAAGGATAATAATGACATAATAGAAAAGTAATAATGACGATCCTTAAACTTTATCAATTAACAAAAGAATCTTCTATTTGCTTGCGCTTTCTTTTTATTTTGCTTTGTCTGTTGCCAATGCCAAACATCTAAATAAATTGCTCTTTTTACTTTGTAATAAGCGTGGAATATGTATGATTGGATAAATAGAATTACGTTAATTCACTGCGGTCGAAAACATGCCGAAGGTTACGTTACTGGAAACTTTCTTAGCATCATCGTTGCTTTTTAACGTTAAATCTTGATTCCAATAAAACAATTACAGGCATTATTCCGTAATGAAACCTTCTTTCGACAAACCAACCGGTTCACCTTTAAAAAAAATAGACTAGCAAAACTAAACACTCTTCAACAAAATATTCTACACTTGTCATGGCGAATTGATGCAATTAACTGAGACAAGAAGAAAACAAAATACTTATCAAAGACAAGAAAGGAATGCCGAAAAGAAGCACGACTTCGTTCAAGAGTTTTCTTTTTTTCTTTCTCAAGTTTATTCTTTGTTACACATAAAACATATTTGGAGCATTTTTCATTATAATTGTATAAAAAAAAATAAAAATAAAAATAAAAAACGCGAGCAACGAGAGCAAAGTGGGCAAAGAACAAAGAAAAAAATAATAGATTAAACCTGTTTCGTCTACAAGACAAACTACGTTAGTTAAAAAAATGTCAGTGCTGAAGCATCGTATTCTACGTAGCGTGTATTTCTCTCGCGAATGCCGAAACACACTACGTGCAAGTCATTTTTACGCAATGCCAAATTTCAGAAACCAAAAAGTATATTTGTATGATGAAAATGAAAGGTATAGGAAAATTGGGAGTCCAAAGAAAACCGAATTTCGTCTGACCATATCTTCGGAACACCGTGCGACGCAGGAAGCCAGCGGATTCACGTTCGTTGTACTCCGAAATCAAACCAATTAACATTAAGAAAAAACCAAAACATAAATAAAGACAAAAAAAATGAATCAAGAAGTGTCAAATGAAAAGAAAACGCTTTTTTGTTGTTGGGACAATGGGGAGAAGTGATGTGATGAAAGAAATAAACAATCACGTTTCGTTTGTGAATTTCACAAATATTACATTTTGTATTACACAGATTTCTCTTATAATTCATAGATTGAATGGGGCATAGAGAAGAAAGTTCTTTTTTTATCATCTACAGCGCATCGTTATTATATATTCTCGTATATAGTGAAAAAAAAAGAGAGACACGAATTCTTACAAAAAAATAAACGTTAATCTCGAAAAAAAAAAGAGAAGGAAACACCTCGTTTTTCATTTCGCACAAAGTTTGTTTTATAGCCGACGACGTTCTACAAGTTATTACACGCACAAAGAATGTATACTCGAAAACCGCAGTTAATACGCATTTATACTTCTCGTGTCGTCGACAATGCACACGATCAATGATTTGACAATCAAAGGTAATAACAGATTTCATTGCTAATCTAGACGCGAACAAGACTACACCCTTTACAGTCTATGACATTGTTACACGTACAATTGTTTTCGAAAGTTTTCCGACGTTTTTGAAATACAAACTACTGCAAACAGTGTAATGTACCGCTCGAGTTACTCCTCAGAACAGAATCTAATCGGACAAAAAAATCTGCCATACTAATCGATCATCAACTAATCCTTCTTTTTTACAAGACGTGGCGTTACAATGTACGAGGTGCATCGCTGCCTCTCGAGAGGCTCTTCCAGGCGCATTGTTTTTTTAAGAGAATAGAAGTTTCGTCGTGGTGGAAATCGGTGCAATAAAAAGATCATTGTATTTTTGACACTTATCCATTACTTTCTTTTCATATAATTCAATCGGAATTCGTGTGTATGGATGTATATTGTGAATGTATAAGTGTATCTGTGTACTGTTGAGTCATCGAAAATTTAATCATCGCCTCAATGCATGTTCCGATTATTAAAAAAAGAGAGAAGATACTCGTTACAGCGCTCCTTTCTTCACCATTACGACGACAATTTACGTGTAGAAGTACGAACATGCATTGGATTATTATCATTTTACACGTGTGTGTGTCAATATAAAAAAAAGTAGGCGCGCCTAACGCAACTATTATTATTATACTTAAAATCAAGGGATCATGTACGAAGGACTTCATCCGAGTCTCTGAAAAATAAGAAAAAGAAATTCCTTATTTAATGACTAAACTCTACGAAAAATACAGCGTCCGACCGTTAAAAAATCGTCTATAAGCCACGAGGAGTAACGAAGACGATCAGAATTCTTATAGTGTCAAATTTTATTTAATGTCAAAAGTCTACATTATTATTATTAGTATTATTCTTTTCTCATCGTTATTGATAATTTGATAGAACGTACAGGGCTAAAGGGGGCCCATCAAGCCGTCGTGTTCTGCACGAAGAGGAGGCACCACGGACTTATCTCGAAACTCATCGATGTTACTATGGTTTTGTCTCTCGACTCTTCAAGTGCTAAATAAGAGGGACACATTTGTTACGTTTCCTTAATGATAACAGTTATAGAAGAGAAAAAGATGGAGAAAGATGACTTGGAGTTAAATGTGTTAATAGGAATGAGAAGTCGAATAGGGACGTGCGAAAGATGATAAAGGTGCGTCCTCCTCGTGCGTCCGTAATTATATATAAATCACTCGTCGGTTGTCGCAATGCTTTCTCAAAGACAATGATATCACGACTATACTTGCATAAGTAACACCTTGATTATTTCTCATGATTCGTTCTTTTTGTTTGTTTTTCAAGTTCATCGTTATGCTATTTTTATAGATACACAGAAAAATTCGCCACAAAGAGAAACCTACATATTGGATTGCGTTGGATTATTTTACCATTATAATTAATTAATCAAAGGATTAAAAGTGAACGTGAGGTTGATAAGAGTTTGAGAAATAGATAGAGAAAAGCTGCCTTCGAAGCCGGCAGACCTTCGCGCATCGCCGAATTCTCAGGATCATCCCGACGACGACGAAGACGTGTGACACACAGCTCTCATCTCTCGGCGGTCCCGAAGGCTTCCTGCTCTGATCGTCAAAATTCATCTCCTCGTATATAGAAAGATCAACCGGCTCTGTCGATTTTTTCTCTGTTTTCTCATCTCGTCATCATCATCATCGTCATCACCGGCGACACACCGACACGAGATTACAACCCCGGCGGCGCGCGACGACGTAGGTGTTTGTTTGTGTGGCGGTTGCGGCGGCTTTAGTATGGTGCGAACCGGCGCGACGGCGATGGCCCTCGGATTCCCGGTCTGGTAAAGCAGATAATATCACAAGTTTACAAAACACGGTCTCTCATCGACGCCATTCTTATTTATTGGTTTACTTGTCACGAATTTTCACGCACGCGCTTGCTGCTTTGCGTTCGTGGCCACGCGTTAAACAAGCTAAACTACACTGGAGGATATAACTTTACTCTCGTGGCAAGGCAGCAAACTTTGCGGAAAATTTAATATTCAAAAATTTGGCAAGTATCAGTACGACAGATCTAATCCATAGCTGGCGATTAGGTCTCTCAGTGGAAAGCATTGAATTGACAAGAAAAATTAAATTTGGGCGACTAGGAACAGTATAGGAACTCGTGTTGACTCTTTTTACCTCACTTAAATAATACTCTAATGATTTAAGTCATATAAGTGTGTTCGTTTAATTTAGAAGTATTCACAGTAACGTTTACTTTTTTATTATACTCAAGTGCTATAAATAGCTACGAGATAGGGTTGTTCTCTTTGAGAATCACACACAATGAACGGACATGAAAAATGACATGGTGCCTGTATTATACATGTAAATGATTAAAGAAACACCTTGCATACACTTGTCAATCAAAAGCATTGTAAAAAAAAAAAAAAGCTGATGAATCAATGATGACAAGCGAGGTAAAGAAAAGGACAACGGATTAGGAAGTTTTTGTATTTAAACTAAGAATCCTCGGGCTGGTGTGGCATTTTGAACTTACCTACGCTCTTCAAATGAGTCTCGGCTGAAGTCCTCGTACATGCCTCTACTACAACATTATTTAAATCGATTATCGACTCGTTCCTACTTGCAAAAACTTTATTTATTTCAAAGAGCTTACTGCACTCTCTTGTTCAAGGCTTAACTTTGTGAATTGATATTATCAATTTTGAAAAAAACAGCTTTTATCATCTATCTCGTACGCAATGCAATTTGAAGTGACTGAATTATTTGAGGAATAGAAAAAAAAATTGGCATATAACTTTACTGGAATTTGAATCCATGCGACTGAATTACTGCCACCACATAATTATGAAATTCGAATCATGATATTGAAAAGTCTCTAAACACACAGTCCAACATTTATGAAAAAACATAAACTCAAATTGTAACGTGCATTATTAGTCACATTGCAATACAAAAATCTTCAAAATAAAGAAAAAAAGCTGTACTTCAGATTGTATGTGTATATCTGCTATTTTTGTAATCCTGACTGTATTTGATTATAAAATTATTTGTTGGAGATATAGAATTATTATTAGTTAAAGCCATGAAACAAGAGAGTCGGTGCTATATTTTTGGCACATTCTGGAAACATTAAGTTTCGATTTATAACTGAATAGTCTCATCCTTGCTAAATAATATATCATGACGCGGCGTCGCGTTAATTGTAGAATAAGAATAGAAGTACTGAATTTTGATAAAAATTTTTTAAGCAAATAATTGACAGAGAGACTTACTCTTTCTTAACTTGAACGCCGAGCCACCACTGTCTCTCTAAAGGTTGCATCTATTCACGGATAAGCTCGGTATGGAGCCGGGTGTGCACTGAAATTTAGAATGTAAAGAGATGTCTAGGTTGCGTTATTTTTTTCAACTCAAACCACGTAATAACCACGCTAGAAACTTAATTTTACGTTCATCGTTCACTTCTCTTATCTCAACAGTTACTACAAGGACATTCAAGTCAAAGATTCTGATTCATTTAAAAATATATCTTTCTTCTGCATGTTATATTCAAACTATGAACTTGTCAGAGTAATTATGATGTAACAAGTATCTACTCAGCAAAAATAAAATCAAAACAAATTGTGTCAAACAGAAAAACCACACCAACCCGATAAATTCCATAGGAATTTGGTGACTATCTATAAGAGGGACTAGGAGAGCATTTGTCATCTATTGAGTTAGGAGCAGCACAGTCAAGTATGTAATATGAATAATGAAGGTGACAAGACAAGAATGATATAGACAAAGATAGAGATAGATAGGTGGAAAGATGATAGGCTATACAGAAAAATGCAATATATATAATATAGAGAAAGGCCATAAGAGATTATCGCCCAACCCTACAAAAAATCGCATGAACAGTTAATCCAGCCTGAAAAATGTGTGTTCACAATGTTAAGCCGGATAAAACGAGTGATCATAACCGATATACATGTATATAAGATACATATATCTTTCAATATACTTTTACGAAGGTGTAGGACTAGAAGATGGCAGATGAAACCTGGTAACTAACCTGAATCGTCCATTGTTGCCGGCTGGTGGTGGTGATCGTCGGCTAAACATACCGTAGTCCTGGCCACGTGAGAAACCAGTGTCGCGCATTGAGCCCATGCCAGCTGTAATGTTTTTTTTCCGCACCGAGAGGAAACGAAAAAAAGAAACGTTGACGAAAAAAAAAGAAAAAAAAAGAACAATAAAAAAATATGTTAGCACGATCGTGTTGCGGCTAGAGAAAAACTATAAATCGTACCAGGATGCTGATAGCCGTCATTACCCGACATTCCGGTCATTCCTGTAAACCTCCTTTCGTACAAATCACGGGTGTCATCGAAGCCACGGCGATCATAGTAGCTGTCGTAGTCCTGGAATGGTGGGTAGGTCTGTGGATGAAAGCAAATGATTATATGAATTACATGACAATGCAACTGTCGCGAGATATCACGGAACAATAGTAAAGATAAGTGCAACAAAGTGCAATTATAATCAATATACTTACACCAAAGCGAGCACCACCCATAAGACGGTCACGGAGGAAGGGTGGTGGCGGTGGCGGAGGGTATGGGTCACGTCCAAACATCCTGTCCCTGAAACCGTTCCTGTCGGGTCCGCCACCCATGCCACCCTTAGGACACTCCTTCGACCAATGACCGCCACGTCCACATCTATAGCATTGCTCTGGATCACCCATACCAGGCCTCTGTCGCACACGGCTAGTGGAAATCTGAACCTTCATAGGTTGACCATCGACGATTTGGCCATTCAACTCCTTGATGGCCTCATTCACATCTCCACTGGCTTCGAGATGTACGAAGCCGTAGTTGCGTACGATGTCACATTCAACCACTGTACCGTACTTGGCGAACAGCTCGCGTACCTGCGGAGCCTTGGTATTATCCGTAAGGTTACCAACGAAAATCTTGGTTGTTGGGGTATTAGGTCCCTTGCGGCTCTTAGCTGCTTCACACTTGATGGGCTGACCATGGACCATGTTACCGTTCAAATTTTGGATGGCATTTCTGCCAGCCTCTTCATTTTCCATATGCTGTAAATAAATTGTTATTGTAATAAGCGCCGTATAATAATGAGACTTATTAGTTAACTTTACAAAACAAAGTATCAATGATGGCTTATGCATGGTTTTGAATACTGCGCCGTTACTAAAATGTAATTATGAAATTGAAAAGTGATTTTAAGAATCTCAAGAACCCATGACAATAGGTCGTAAGACTTTTAAGCCTAACATTTTAACGTTTAAGAAAGTAGCACGAGGAGGAGGTACTTACGACAAATCCATAATTCTTGACGACGTCACACTCTACGACCTTGCCGTATTTTTCGAATAGTGGCTTGATGTCGGCATTGGTGGTCTTGTCGGCAAGATTACCGATGAAAATCTTGAAAGTACCTACGCTGCTGAAGCCCGGCATATTTCTTCCTCCGAATACCTGCGTCACAACACAAAGTGAAAGTTAGTAATTTCACACAATCACTAAGCTCATGTTCACTCGTCAGCAAGAAAATAAAAATTGCGCACAAGAACCGGAAATCGCGCGCGAGCGCGCGCGCACAGACACACACTTGATAGAGAGCGCGCGCGGTAAAGTCGATAGAAAATTGAGTGAGAGAACGGGTCAGCCCGGTCTAAAGGGGAGAGAGAGGGAGGAGTCACGACGACGCTCCGGAAATTTCCACGCCGAGCGAGACAGAACGATAAGACGACGCGCGGCGCGTGAAAGAGAGAAAAAGATGGCGTGGCAACAGTGGCGCCACCACTTCGCTTGTTTCGAGCGTCCCTCGTGCTGTAAAAAAATGTTAGAAATTCACTCTTTTTTTTCTTCGTTACCGTACCGTTGCTGAAAAAAAATTTATCACTTATGCATTGCGCGATAATCCAAATGCCGATAATCTGTTTGGCATATATTCATTAAAATCAATTAGAGGGATATCGCGCATGCATGCATGCGGTATCTCGGTCGCAAAACTTCGATCGACTACGATATACATAGATATATATCTGCATAAAAACGCATGAGCGAGAGGCGTCCTTGGACAGAAAGGAGCGGGAGCTCTTTTGGCCGATGAACTAACAATGGAAGTTCTCGCTTATATGTGGTGGAGTGTTAATAAACAACGCTAATGTTTCGTTCTAGATATCAACTGGCTTATATACCCCGATAGTTGCATACAAAAACCGCGACGCAAAACAGACGAAAATGTTACGACTAGGTATGGGTATAATTTCGATAAAAATTGCGCTATCCGGCTTTCAAAGAACGTTAAGCCGGCTTCTTGTTGAGGAAGCCACACAGCGCCGCTAAGGTAGACCTATTCTTTTTCTTCCCTTAGCTACGATTATATAATATTCACGATGTTACCCAAGCGTATAAAGTTGAAAGAAATCAATGCTAAAATGAAACACATAAAGTACGTTGTTGAACGTTGAGCAATAATTTGCCACGAATATATCTTAGTACGGCGAGTCAGCAATGGCGTATACAATGCTCTCTAGCGTGAGTGAGATAGAGCGCGTGTCTGTTCGATTCCGCCCACGCTGAGTAAACGTTGCGCAGTTCGCAAAGTAGAAATATAAAAAACAATGGAAGGAGAGAAAAACAACGTAACAAAACGAGATATTGTTATGATTCTTACCGTGAAATTGTTGCGTTAAAACCGACGCGTCGAGCGACTCACACAACGAGTGCGCGAACAGTGGCTTAAAAAATGGCGGCGAAGGAGAGACCGAAGAATGTGATGGTAGCTTGGCGGCGGTAAAGCGAGAGAACGAGCTAGCGGTCACCGTCACGGTGTCCTTCGACGAACTGCGCGCCCGGCCAAAGTGGATTGTTGCGGCGCAAGCAGCGCTGAGCTGTGCAGCGTCGCACAGTGCTGCCAACTTGACAAGGATAAAATCGATATTTTATAGGCATATGGTCCCGGTCGGATCTATATCATGGTTCAAGTGTTTCAATCAGAATTGATCATTTCGAAATTGTAATTTGTTTTTTAAAAAGAAATCAAAGATTATCATATTATTTGTTTATTAATGAGCTTTGTAATTTGCAAAAATAAACTATTGTAACGACCATTCAATGGGTTAGTAATGTTGGTGAGGTTGATTATCTTCGTCCTTTTTCATCTTATTGCACTGGTAGATAGGTTTACATGTAGCTGGCAGCACCGGACAGGCAGTCTTAAAAGCGCTTGATTTAATTTCCAATATTTTAGTAAATATAAAGAAAATTTTGAAAACATAATCGAATATATGACAAATATCTTTTCAAATACTAATATTCTGTAACTTCATTACCATAAAAAATTGTGTATAAGTTGCTCTTACTTTTGTATTGGTTTGTTTCTCTAATTTTATATTAGTGAGTGTGAATCGTAAAAATAAAACGATCAAAATAATTATCAAGTTGATTTCAGGTGACTGACAAAGTAATCAAAAGACAATTTTTGTTGTTGAAAAAGTTTACATCTGTTTAATAATCATTAAAAATATAAATTCCGTAGTTTTATTCTTTCATAGTTTACAATACATATTTATATATAATAATTACAAATAAATTTTCTAACCGAAAATTCAAGATTAGGATAGCATGTAACAAATGGCTTTGCTGACACACAGCAGCAGTTAAACATTGAAGGCAGTCAATTTTAAGGCAATTGTAAAGCTTGCTGATTTCGCAAAAAAAAATGTTAACTCATAAATATTATTTTTTCCAATTACTTGAAAACCAATTATTATCACAAAGATATGCGGTATCGTTCTCTCACACGTAACAAAACAAATAAACTTTTTCACTTCAGCATATCTTGCCGCATTACTAGTTAATTATTCATCGCATCGCTAATCGTTCGTCTAAAGTCGTTCGCTTGCCAAGCAATAGCTTACAATTACAGAATAAAAATCATTTAACATAAAAATTCGCATCTGTACAAATATTTTTTATTGGATTAACATTATACGGCGTAGATTGCATTACACAGAGTTGCTCGACAGCCGTTTTCTTTTTTCTTTTTTCGTGGAACCCGAAAAAATATGAATATCGTTCATCATTCGTTTCTCATTCGTTCGTGTTCACTGTTGCATATCTCGAAACTTAGGAAAATCCATTGTTATTCCATATTATCTATGAATATTACAAAAAGAAATTATTTGTATAACATGATCAGTCTCAAAACATGGCATGGTCCACGGCAAAATAAGCAAGTTAAGCAAATCTCTGTATAAGAAGCTACATTTATGTAAGAAAAGTATGTAAATCGAATATCCTGCAATGAAATGTCTTTCTATTAAACTTTGAAAGTGAGACAACTAGTGAAAGTAATATAACGATTATAATTTGCAATGAAGAGAAGTTTCAAACAAAATCAGTATGAAACGTAAAATTTATTTTGGTATTGTGATACTATGTATTAGTTTCTAGCTATCATTAACTGCTGTTCATTGATAGCTTTCTTTTCAAGTTAAGCATACATAGAAACAAGCAGTTTAATTATCGTGTAAATAAATATTCTTTTTTGAACAACTTTCTATTTGTAAAGTTTTCTAAAATATCTACAAAGATACATTATCGTGAATGTATTCGAAGCCATTGATATCTTGGAATTGAAATATTAATATACTAATAGTCAATCGAAAGCTTTGTTTATTAACATAAAGAAATCTGTATATAAGTAGAAGCCAAGTTTATTGCAGGATATAGAAGAGCTTATAACAACTTACGTCGGCGTAAGTCTTTGGCCCAGTTAATCCGAAACCTAAGAGGCAATTAAAAAGTACACTTTGCATTCGCATTCAAAAAACTAAATCTCGATAATTGCTCTCTCTTTCTCGCGTATCATACTCTCAAAAAAAAATCTGCACTCAACATCATTAAAAATTTTTCGTTTTTTCAGTTCGCATTCGTCAGTCTTCAGCTGCAGTCTGCAATTACCTAACGCTATTTACAAAGGGAAACTATGTACATGGGTGGATGTTACAACTTCAATCAAAACAAGCTTGTTTAAGAGCCACAGCATTCGTGGATCGAGCATCGACGAGCGAAGATTTAGGCCACTGTTTTATCTTCATCCTTTGAAGAAAAGAAACGAGCAACGCTCGTGTACGGCGATCAATTCACGAATGAACGCCTTCTTCGATGACAACCATGTAGACAGATTAGGCAATTCATACGATCTTGATGGCGTTGTCGATGTGCAGTTTCGACATTGTTTTCTTCACTCGAAGAGCTGTCAAGCGAACTGCCGGATTCGTGTGCCAACATTCCGTCATCAGTTTGGCGAGGGTCGACAGGATCTGTAAAAGAAAGAAAGTTGACCTCATTAGTGTACTTTCGATACAACTATCGATAATCAAGTAGCAAACGAAATATCGTGAAACTCACCGGATCGTTTTCCCATCTGGCAGGTATAGTAGGCCGCAACCTTTTCACGCATACAGCGAGTCTCATCTCCTCAAAGTCCGGATCGTTAGGCACAGCATCGTGATAAGGCAAAGCGTAAGGCTCAGCGGTGGAAACTTTACCACCCGAAGCACACCTTCTGCATACTTCCCACAAGACCAATCCGACGGAGTACATATCAGCCATTTTGAAGGCGTCGAAGGACGAGGTATTGAGAGTCTCATCAAGTACCTCTGGTGCCATGTAACGGCGTGTTCCCACTCTTGTGTTTGGTGCGATGTCAATTTCGCCAGTCTCGCTGTAAAATAACGACAATCGTTGCCATGAGCATCGGCGACTGGATGTTGGCGCGACTAATAAAAAAAAAAGAAAAAAAGAAAAAAAATGAATCTAAAATCTCACCTTAAGAAACGGACGGCCAACCCAAAGTCAGCGATGGCGCATTCCCCATTTCTCTTGACGAGAATATTCTTGCTCTTAATATCGCGGTGGGCGATGGCCGGTTTGCCTTTGGTGCCAAAGATCTCGGTGTGCAGATGCACGATACCGGCGGCAATGGACAAGCAGACGGCAAGCAAGGACGGATGATCGAGTACAGTCGTCTGCAGGTAATCGTGCAGCGAGCCACGCTCGTGGTAATCCGTGATGAGCAGCATCTGCGTCCAAGAGCCGGTGCCCTTGATGTCGGCCGCGATGAAGCCTAGAATATTGTCGTGCCGCATCAACACAGTTTGATAGATCTCGGTCTCACGGAACCAAGACGCCTCCTCGAGGGTGAAGAACACCTTGACGGCGACTTTCTCGCCTCGCCATCGCGCCAGCCAGACTTCGCCGTAGCGTCCCTTGCCGACGCACTGGGACAGCTGCAGTTGCTTGGCGATCGTCCTCTGCACGAGCAACGGCAAGCCCGAGCCCGAGCCACTGCTCTGGTCGATCAGATCTTTCAGGGTGCCCTGCGATGAGACCAGGCACTGCCCACGGTCCTTCCTCCTGTACTTGTGGTACAGGAGGATCATGCCGACAGTGAAGATGAGCAGCAGAATCGACAGCGACACCGCCAAGACTATGAGCGTTGGTCCGGTGGGTATCATTCCCATTGGATCTGGCGGCACCGTCGGCTTGCTCTTGTACATGGGGAACAGTTCCTTGTTGCACAGATTCGAGTTGTTGCAGCAGATGATGCTCTTGCCCTGTAGATGAGGAACCAGGTAACCTTTGCACTGCATAAATCCCTGCTCATCCGGTGGCAAGCAGCCGAACGACCACTCCGGCACTAATTCGTCCGTCTCGGCGTCCCAGACTTCCTCCACGGCGCTGAAGCAGTGGCCGCCTGCTCGCGTCTCGCACGTGCCATTCTGTCGCTCGTCTGGACAGTGGCCGTCGCAGTAACACGTCACTGCCGACACTGCAACGGGCAAACACAGGAGCGTTGATTTATTATCGGCACACCACCAGACATCGGTTGCCGTTGCCACGCGTCTCGACCTATCGAATGCCCGAGGACCTGACCGTCCGTTCGCCGACGCGGATGATAGTCCGCTGCCAGCCACGGCCTTTCCAGTCCCGCGGATCGTCGTCGCATCGATCAACCGTTATCCAGAGAATTCGCGGCAGGTGGACCCATCATCCGACAGCAGTGCGCGCACGACGAGGACGAACGAGGAATCGATCGGCGCTTCCGCAATTGGGCGTACGCTCCCGCTCGACCGACGCGCGGATAGATGCCAGAGACAAGCTGGCACGTAGGCGGTACCTGGCCGCGCGATGGACGGTCGCCAATTCGCCGAGAGATTTCCGCGTCGTCGCGCCCGCGCCGCGCGCGTCCATTCAAGCCTGCGTCGATTTGGCCTCTGTGTACTACGCGCCGCGAGCGGCATTTATTTATTGGCGCCGCGATAAAGCTTGCCCCGACCGCGCGATCGCACAACTCATTCAGCAAGTGCACACACGCGCAGTGCGCGTCTAACGCGTACCAGTGAACGAACTCGGCGCTCTTTTCTTTCCTACGTCTTTTCCTTCCTTTTTTTTTTTTTTTTTTTACGAGACGATAGCAGCGAGCAAAAGGAGGTTGCGTTATCAGCGCTCGCGAGTCAAGCCAACGCGCGCATGTGCGTCGGCATACGGTTGGCATGCGCGCCTACGTTTCCAATATACGAAAGCGGCTGTGTCGCGAGTTCCAGCGATTTCCGATGCCAATTAAAAGTATAGTCGCCGGCGCGTATTAATTTATTACGCAAAATAAAGTATAAAGCGGCAAGGTCGAGACGTTAGTCGGCAAACGGAGCGGCTGAAAAGGAAAAAGGAAAAGCCGCGCGCGGACGTTCGTTTCGACGCCGATCGCGAATCGGGGAACGTCGCCCGAGAAGCTGACGGTTGCACTCGCGAGGGCAGCGGCCAGACGCACGAGATGCTCACACCTTCTAATTTCGCGTGGCCGACGTCGCGGAATCCGACGGATTTAGATAAGGCGGCGCCGGCACGATTCGTCGGCCAGACGCTTGCACTATTTTCGGAGCGGGCCGCGCGACTCCGCGACGCGCGGCCGTCGGGCTGAGCGAGAGTCGCAAGGTCGCCGAGGGTACTCTCCAGCACTCCCGAATCTCGCGGACCCACGCGGACGTTGACGTCGCAAACTTTCGTACTGTTTTCGAAAAAGGCTCGTCGTTGTTCGCTTCGGGGGCCATTCATCGGAGATAAAAACGAAACCAAACGCAAGAGAAGGAGAAAAAGAGAAAAAGGGGAAAAAACCGTATCACCGACGATAACGCGTCGATTATCCAGTCTCGCGTGGCCGCGCGATTCGACAAAGCTCGGGCGACACCTTCCTCGTGTTATTCCGATTCGGCACACGGCGAGCAATTCGGTCGATCGACTTTTATCCTGCGGTAGTGCGCGGCCCGCGCAGACGTAGAAAGAACTCGCTCCGGCCGCGAATGGCCTCGGCGACGGAGAGGAAGCTGCGTCGCCGCTTCGTCGCCCACGCGCGGGCGACATCGACGCCGATTTCGCAATTCGCATTGTTTCCAATATCGCTTTTAACGGGGCTCGCTCGTCGCCGTCTTCGTCTTCGTGGAAGCGGCCCACGCGCGCGCTCTTTCCCTTTCGTCGATGAATTCGCGCGACACCTCTTCGCGCCGTCGGACGCCGCTTCGTTAGTCACGCGCCACCTTGAGCCACACTCCCGGCGATTAGCGACGCACGCTCGAGCGCATTTGCCAAGTGGAATATCGAGCGCGTTGTCGGCTTCCCGGCAGCGACCGAGTCATACGATCGTTCCACGAGCGCGTCGGCAAATCGCACGCGATTCTCGTTTCGCTTCGCGATAATGGGACACCTTAGCGAGAAATCCCAAAATTCACTCTTTCAATGAGTTTCGATGAAAGTTCACCGAGCGTCGCTCGTCGATTTCAGTCGCGATCGGCGAGAAGAAACGGCAACACCGTGTTAGACCACTTTTCCAACTCGCGTGACGAGTGAAAAAAGAACAAGCATCTCGGCGAAATTGAAAAGGGCAGAGAAAATTGACTCGTCGGTGTCTATGCACCGAGGACGAAATTGAGAGACAGCTCGGCGCGAGATAATATTAGTTTAGGACGCCCATCGAATCGTTTATACAGTAAATCCCAATGGCTGGGAAATAATATTTACTTGAGAGAGAGAAAGACACACACGTCCCCCCCCCCACCCGCCAAAATAATAAAAAAACGCACTCTTTTTCCCTCCTCGCCGAACAATGTACCACGGAGTATAATCGAAGAAGTTGACGCCGGCAAACGTAAAGCGCAGCAACGTTTGCCCCACGCAAATATACAGTCGGCTGGCTCCGATTTATCGCTCGTCGCTCCAACCTTGCACGGAGCTCAGCTCTTTCTGGGTCCATCGCGGCGAGACACGCTTGCATTTTCGTCGACAAACTCGGGGATGCTCGGCAGGTTGGCGACGATTGCCGCACCAGAAAAACTCAAGCCGCGGTATCTCTGGCCAAGTGTCGCGCCGTTAAAGCCAAGTCCTCGAGTCGTACGAAGGCACGCATCGACGAAAAGTATCGGCGGCTCGGCGCGCAGACGTAGCCCAGACGCAAAAGAGAGAAACCGGACGAGCGAGCAGACGTAAAAAAGCGACTCGCGGGTAGGAGGACGGCCGAGAAACACGAGAAGCGCTGCGCCAGCTCTGCTTTTTTCTTCGGCTAGGGAGGGGGGCGGAGCGAGTGACGTTCCTTAAACCGGAGGCAGCTACGTCGATTATTCAAAGCTGATAATTAATGGCGGCAGCACGTGCGGAAAAGTCACCGTTGCGACGGCGGCGAAAGGAAGGGGAGGGGGAGAAGCTCGTACAAATTTTCCCCGACCGAGAGCACAAACGAGTGGATGCTCGTGTCGACGGAAGGAACGAGAGAATGGGGATGGGAGATGACTCAATTCGTAATTCGTTCGAGTGCACCCCCCCCCCCCCCCGCACTTGACGCAACAATGATTTCTGCGTTTACATAATGCTCCACGGCCGTACGCCACTTTCGACCGCGCTGATTCATTCTTCGCTGACGAACTCGCAATCACATGAGAAGTGAACTACGAATTTTCAAAAGTCGAACGCGTACCCTGTGTGTGCGTCCGTATTTTTCTTCGCGTCTTGTGCGACGAACGTCCACGGCGTTCATTTTGTTTTTTATAGCCTGGCTGATTGAAGTTTTTAGAAGCACGTATAAACAAGATGCGATTGACACCGGCGCGCGAGCTCGCGGACACGTTTTCTTTTTTTTTTTTCTTTTTCGCCAATTGATTTATTTGCGATTTTATCGTCGTTCGAATTAGTTGCTCGCCAAAAGCTCGCCGTGAATTATTCAAGTAACGACGGTGGTTCTTGCCGGAAACCGAAATAACAAAGTCTGTATCTACGCGCAACGCGGCGCTTCTGCTTTATTTCTTCCTCTTTTTATTATCCAAGCTGCTGCTGCTGCTGATGCTGCACGTCACGATTAAATCCGTCGCTGACGGAATTAGCGTTCGAGTTATCTGTGATATACTGCCTCATTGTCGCGGCACGGCGACGTTCCCAACAGAACGAACGAGCTCGCGAATGTTAATCGAACCGACGTCTCCGCGCGCGAAATCAAGGCTAGCTGCTGTTTTTTTTTCTTTTTTTACACGTGCACCTTCGCTTCGTCGAAATTTCAATCACGTTCCGAAAAGTCGACTTACATAATTGGCCGAGAAAAGAAAAATAAAAAAAACAAAAGACGCCAGTCATCGGGTTAGACTCGAAAATCGACTGATAAACAGCGACGCGCGCGCAAGTTACATTCTAGCGCACGTGCTTTTTAGCCGTATACAGGTATACGCGCGCGCGTGCGCGCGCTCGGTTGGCATCGCGGTGTCGGATTTTCGCGCGAGCTTCGACGTTCGTATTTTCGTTGCGATCGAGAACGAATTTCATAGTTTATCGCTTCGTATTTCATTGTTTGCTCGATAACTACGGCCAGCCTTTCGTCCCCCCCCCCCTCGATAATTTTTAATTATTCTGCCGGGTTAAGCCCAAACGTAACGTAAAGCGGGCAACCTTAATTTTTCCCGTACGCGCGTCAAAATAGTTTTCAGTGACTGAATCATTTAGTAGCGTGCATGCGCGTGTGCGTGTGCATCATTGACATTCGCCGAATGCCTTGCGATTCGCCATCCGACCGAGTCACGACTCTTTCTGCTTTCGGAGCTTCCACGATTCTTGGCTTGCTCTTATCTTGATCATTCGGCAAAGGCCCAGCGCGCCGCGTATAGCCTCGCAATTACCCCTCGTGCAATTTTCGTGATCCGCGAGCGAAAACGTACAACGAGAAAAACAAGGCTTTCTCGCGATCGAAGAGCGTATATTCCCGCCGACGATAATCCTACCGCAATTACGCCTTCTCCGTGCAATTCGATCGTCTCGCACGCACGCGCGCGAGAAACGAAATGAAAAAAAACATTCACACGGAATGCGCTCACGCGGGGCGTGTTTGTATTTACATAGCGTGTAATCATGAGAGAGAGAAAGAGAAAGAGAGAGAGAGAGAGAGAGAAAGAGAGAACCGGATAACGCGAGTTGCATTGTTCGATTTCCATCTTTTTACTTTTCGCCTTCTCTCGAGGACTGTCGGCGTTCTTTTAATCTCGGATGGAAGAGCCATTAAAAATAAAATAAGAAGCGTCGTCGAAGAATATCTTTGTTTTATTGCGATGCGTATTTTTGAAGACTACGGCACAGGATGTAACGAATTTAGAAGTGAAATAATAAGCCGTATCCTTTGTGTAATCTTTTGGCAATTTCGACGGACAGACCAGAGCCGGTATCTGCGTTAATTTGTATTTATATATAACGTACTTCCTAAGCGCTTTTAAATTTAGATATGAAAGCGAGAGAGAGAGAGAGAGAGAGAGAGAGAGGAGAGACAGACGGGTGTCGTACATAACAAATATAAATTTTCGATGGCGTGTGATTGGACGAATTTCCGTGGCAGCCCGCGCTCGCTCGCTCGCGCTACTTATTTTCGACTACTCTTGTGTAAATAAACAATCGACTCGCACGCACAACAACGAAAATGAAGAAGTAAAAAGAAGAAATCTTACATAACTCGCGGGAAATTTCAATTTTTTTTCGTACTCTCTTTCTCTCGCTCTAAAACTCTTGAGTCGTAAACTAGAAACTACGATATAATAACCATTCAAGTACATTGGTTCTCTACCTCTTCACAGTACCAAAGTTCCTCATCCGGTGAAAAAAAACAAAGTCGCGTGAGATTTTTTGTAGGTTAGAATCAAAGCGAAAAAGAGTTGGTCGTACACAGCAATAGCCACGGAGAGAGGAGGGACTATCGGCAGAGGTGCACTCACCATGAAGACTCCTAGCGAGCACGAGGAAGAAGATGATGCAGAGGGATGCGGCGGCCGGCTGCTGGCCGAGTAGCAGCGCAGCCATTTTCTTGTTCTCTCTCGCTCCTCAGCAGCAGCAGCAGCAGCAGCAGCAGCAGCTCTTCTCGCACGCACTCTTCTCTGAGCGCTGCGCACTCGCGGAAAACCGCTTGCCTTCCGTATTATGTATCTTGGCAGATGTACGTGTATCTTGTCCGAAGAGTCTTCTCTCACCTAGCTTTCCACATAGTGCACCCACGCATAGCTCTTCCGCGAGCGAAACGCAGCACGACTCGCAAACGTCGTCGGTGTTGTTGTTTTCGTTTTTTTTTCCTCGCTGGCTGTCGCGCGTGTGTATGTGTGTGCGTGCGTGCGTGTGCGTTGTTTGCCGAGAACGCCGACGTCGACAACGTACACAGCACGGCCGTACCGAGAGGACTGACGGCCAAAGCCAGCCAGAGATCTCTTGGTGTGTGCGCGCGCGAGAGAGCGCGAGTTTGCTCGAGACGTACCAGAAGGTGGCGCTGCTGTAAGCTATCTCTCGGCTACCTACTTGTCCGCCTATTATTTGCGCGTGTGTGCGTGTGTAGGTGGATAATGCGTCTACATATGCGAACAATCGGAAAAATGCGCCGGGTTGACAGTGGGTTCGACGTTGACGAGCGCAGAATACGGACTGTTAGGGGCCGGATTGTGGTCTGTTGCTCCGGGACGAAGAAAGGAAAAAGCAATTTGAAACGGCGTGAACGAAGCGCTATACTGGCGACCATAAAAATTATGAAAAAGAACAAGCGGTCTCGGTGATCGCGCGCGTCACCGGAAATCAATTAATCGATCGACATTCGCAGAGCCAATCTGTCCGAGTCTTACCGTTTAGCGCGCGAGCCGCTGGCTTTTAACTTTTCAAATATGTAGATGGTATCGTCGTAAACAGCCTCCTTGCATTGGCTCGCGCGCTCCCGTGACGGCTTTCTCTCGTTTGAAGCCGGCTTTGCGTTATAGATGTTCAGTGAACGCATCACCTCAGCTTGTAGCGATGGACTGTCGGCGTCGCTCAAAGTCCGCCACTTGATCCGCGTCGCGTCGGCAAATGAAAATTTACGCGCGCGACACGCCAGTCGTATAACACTGAATATTTGACGCGCGCAGTGAAAGTCATCGCGACACTGGTTTCCAAGCAAGTCCGCGCGCAACGTTGTAATTCAGTCAAGTCCATCTCGTTTGTCTTCCCTCGCGCGTTAAGCCGAGAGAAAAATCAATGACCCATTTATCCGGACACACGAGCTCCGAAGGCAGCAGCCACGTATGGTCTATTAGCCAAATTGCACCGAATACAGGCTCGGTACAGGCAAACACGAAAATCCCATCCGCAGGACAAATAAAGGGCCTAAGCAAACAGCGAGCGAGAGATATTCAATAAGAAGCTCGCGTATAAGCTGAAAGTTAAATCATAATTGAGGAAAAATCAAATCAGCGACGATCGATAACGAGGCTCCGCAAACAATGTAATCGGATATCGCAGAGCCGAAGCGCATTTGTATAAGCTGCCAAAGGCCTGCTGTCCCCCTAATGCAGCCCGATTTTCTCTCGCGACCACGGCGCAGAGGGGGAAAAGATGCCGAGTTTCGATACGCGAAAAGGGATCTCATATTTTTGCCGCCTCTCCCTCTCGCCTTCTCCTCCCTCGTTTGCTCTCGGTTTTCCTTCGAAGGCTTCGCCCTCCGTGCTCGGCTCGAATCACGAGAGTATGAGAACCCAAGAGCAACATCGGCCGTACGATGCGATCGAGGGGCAGAGTCGTTTCAAAATGCACGAGACACGCAAGTTCATTGCGGAATACCGACGTAAACGCCCGCCAGAGGACAGTCGGCGCGAGAGGCATTATTTTTCGCGGGAGGCGCTCTCGCGCGCGCAGGACCAAAGAGAGCGAGGTGCGCGGGATAATCGCTCGCGATATCCGTCCGCTTTCGCGCTCGCGAACGGGAAACTTGCGCGCGCGACGCGGCGCAGCTCTCCCAATTTTCGCACGGCGGCACTTGCGGCCGCGAAATTTCACCACGGGGTCGTTATTAAAGCCGCGTATCGAGCGATACGCGCGTGCGCGCTCGCCTCTTCTTTTTTCTCTCTTGTGGGCGGAGAGGGGAACAGGGAAGGGATCTTCTCGACGCGCGTAAAAACCACAAACATCGCGCAACGATCCACGCACGCCTTGTCTAATCGCTCTTGCGTCACGGCTCCAAAGTAATAAAGTATAACGCCGCGGCGGAAAGCAAAACAAAGAAAAAAGAAAAGAAAAAAGAAAAAGGAAAAAAAAAGAAAAAACAAATCGCAGGCGCGAGCGCGCGCGTCGGGTGAAAGCTCATCAGCGAGCGCCAGGTAGTACAGAGCTAATTTCAATGCTCTTTCTGCGTCTGCGTTTCTCCGCGGAGAGAAAAATAGCCGTAGCCCCGGCGCGCCGTGAGGCGGTCGGCGGCGGCGGGGCGCCCGTGCATCTCTCGCTCTCGAGTCTCGAGCGAGCGAGAGAGGCGCTTCGCGGCAGCGGCCTGCGTAGCACTGTGCGGGCGCCACGCTGCCGCGACTCTTTGGGCCTGCTCACTTGGAGCTTGTTTCCGGAGGCTCCGAGCCGCCCTTTTGGACCTTCGCTTTTTCTCTCGGGCGCTCCCTGCTCGTCGCGCTGATTCTCTCCCCCGACGGCGAGGCCGTTTAGAATATATTTTCGGCAGCGGCTTTCCCAAGGCCCCGCCGAGAGACGAAGAGGCGTCGGCGGCGAGGATTAAATCCGCGCGCTCCAGCGAGAGAGAACCGTTTGTCGCCGCGCCGGTTCCGCGCGCAGACAGCGAACGAGCATCGGCAGTCGCCGGGATGTCCCGCGCGCGCGGCTACGGCTGTCGCTGGAAGCCTCGACCGACCCGAGCTTTCCTTCGCCCGGAGAATCGCGCTGCAAGCGTCGCGCCTGGTACCGGCACCTCTCGGCCCCACCGTATCGGCAAATCGTCGAACGGATCCCAGCGGAGCCAGCAACATCTGTATAAATATGACCCGCCGGCGAACTGCGGTGTGCCGCGCCGATTCTCGCCGCCTCCTACTCCGGCATCGCGTCGATTCGCGGTGACACGTGGCTCGCATTAGAAAGAGCCCATGTCGCAGCGCTAAATTATCCGAGATAAGTGACGATCTCGAATGAAACTGCCGGGCCGCTCGAGCGAGGAAATTACATAGCAGCAGCTAAGCCCGGAGGCGCGAAACCGAGCATCGCGTGCGCGCGCGAGCAGCGAGCTGCGTGTCGACCGCGCGAAGCGACTCGCGTTCTCGCCGAGCGACGCGACGTCGTTATAGGCGAAGGCGATTCGATTAATCGGGACGGGCGATCGTAACGACGCGCGCTCGAGCAACGATGGATCTCGGAGCTCGTCACCTCTGTCCTCGCCGCGAACGAGAGAGCGAGTTCTTCGGGCCGCTCGCGGATCCCTCGACTCGTCGATCTCGGGAGCGAGGCGTGCGTGCTGCCGACAATTTGTCGCCGCGCCTGTTGCCCGCGCGACCGACGCCGGGCACGCGAGCCACGTGGACGGCGCTATTCGCGCGCGACAACGTCCGAGGGATATCGCGATCAGCGGCAAATATGGCGTGCGCGGCCTCGCGAGCGCGGCGGTGCAATTTTGGCGCCGTCGTCGCCGCCGCGCGAGAGCCGAGTGTCAGGTACGCTGTACGCGTAGCGCCGGCCTGGCGCTGACCGCTTTTTGCGCCGCCAGACAGCCACAGCAGCTGCCATGGGAACCCGACGGCCGTGTGCACGCTGCCCTCTCTCTTTCTCTCTCTCTCTCTCTCTCTCTCTCTCTCGAGTGCGGCCGGTTAATTTCTATACAGGCCTGCGATCTCTCACTCGCGTCTAGATATGCTTGGGCGACTATCGACACGAGGACACCGACGCGCTTCCGAATGAGCTATTGGGTCTTGGCTCGACGAGACTGGAGCGCGCGAGGCAGCGGGAAAGTTTGCCGAGCGACGCCCCGCGCCCACTCGAGATTCAATTGCACGGAGCGCCGTTTGGCGGCGATCAGCGAGCCTCGGGTCCGACGATCGAGGAACTGCAGGCGCAACAACTCGGCGTTCGTCGAGAGGCAACGCTCGAGGCATCGCTCGAATAAGCGATAACGCGACGATGACGCGAGCGGCAGCTCGAGCCTCGGGCCTTTGCGTCGTAGCGGAGCGTCAAATAGACGCGACCAAAGGTCCGCGGGACGTCGTCTTCGAGGTAGGACCCTCGACGATAAAGCTTTTGTACGTGGTTTCGCGCGCGGACGGCCGGTTCAAGCTACACGTGTACGCTTATCTCGCTCCCAAAATTAAAAGACCCTTTCCCTCGACTCTCGTCTCTCCTCTTTCCGCTAAACCTCATCGATTTATCTTTTCGGCTGCTGTTTGCTTCGCCCTCCTCCTCCTCCTCCTTCTCTTCTTCTTTTCTTTTTATTTTTGGGCTGCTCCTCGACTCTCTGGCGGCGCTGGCTCGTTCTCGTCAATAGTTTGGGACTGCCGTGGGGGCAGCTCTAGTAATTAGTTTTCGGTGCTTATTGCCTTTTCTTGAAAGGAAACAGCATCGAATTAATGGTTTTCGTGATTTAGCGATGAAAATCGTTCACCTTGCGGTCAGCAAGGCTGATCCTTGCAAATTGAAATTAGCGGATGAAACGCGCTGACACGACCGATCACAGCGCGTATACCAAAGTTAATCTTCGAGCGAATGCCTCGAATAGAGCGGCGCTCGGCCGAGCGAAAGCCGAAGCCGGAGATCGGAGCCGATTTCACGCTGAATTGCGTGCCGCGCACGGGAGAAACGAGCGCGCTGGACGCAGGCGGCCGATTAGTCAGTCTTGGCATCGCGCGCGTCGTTAACCCACTGGCACGGCGCATCGTGGGCGAGGTCTTGAATGAGGAAAGTCCAGCGCGACCGATGAAAGCAAAGTGCAGCCGCAGAGAGAAAGAGCACACGCTATATTGTTCGCACCAGCGACGTCTCTCCGAAGGGACTCGCGACTCGTAATTAAGCGGAATCAGAACGCGAGAATAAAGACGCATAAATCGTGGAGAAAAAGGCATGGCCGTATAATCGAGAGAGCGTGGAGGCTGCGGTGTATAGGCAATTATAAATTCGAAAATGAGAAATAAATTCCGAGAGAGAGAGAGAGAGAGATAGAGAGAGAGCGCGCAAAATCAGATTAGCTTCGCGTTTGATTTTGTTCCTTTTTTTACGGAGTCTCGCGAGAAAAGAAGTAAGATGGGCAGTCACAGATAGCTTCGTTCTCTCTCTCTCGTCGACTATATGCAGACACGCATGCGAGTGCGTCTGCTGCCCTGGTGGAGAAATCACGAGGACGGCATCTCTCTCTCTCCCTCTCTCCCCAGACTCGGCGAGGAGGGCGCGACGACGCGAAGCTCGTTATGCTGCGCGCCGAAAATACATTATGCGCGCGCTGGCCGTTGCCTCGAGTATATATACATATCTGTTTTTTTTTTTTTCACTCTGCCCCCCGAGCAGCCGGAGCAACGACGCATGGCTGGCGCGCGAACTGCCCCCGAGAAGCGCGCGATCCGTCGCGGCGAAAGCCAGCGGAATCCTTTTCTCGAAAGT